ATAGAAGTAGGGCCACTCAGGCCCCTTGGAATTTACAGTTTACCACCACGTGCCCAGGATGTTGGACATGGAGCTACAGGATTTAGTGTTTGCCCAGGTGGTTTTTGGTTTTGTTTTGGTTGTGTTCTTTTCCTCTCTTTTGGAATGAGAGTATTTACCCTGTGCCATTATATAGTGATACCTTGGTTTTCAAACAGCTCCAAGCACAAACTTCCCACTACTAGAACATAAGTTTAAAAAAATCTGCTTGGTATTCATAACTTTGCTCAATAGTTGAACCAAAAGTCTGACTTGATAAAACATGTATGGGCTAAGAGTGAGTTGTGCATTGCGTCTTATGTCAGACATGAAAGGGTGACAGTTGAAGCACTGCCTTGCCCAGACAACATATAGTGCTTTTGCTAGTGCATCAAAACATTTGTCATTGCACTTTTTTTGGTACTTTATTTGCATAAACCATGGCTCTAAAGAAACCCTGGCTCCAAAGAAAGTTAAGTGATGCCAGTTGTAAAGCTAAGAGGAAAACTGAGAATCCCAAGATAGAGTCAAAGAAAGAAATCATTGTGAAATTTGTTAAAGTCCTGGAAACATGAATTTATAAGTGCAATTTTTGGGCCTCAGAACAAATTATTTAGTTTTCCATTATTTCTTATGGGGAAAATATGTTTAGTTCTTGAACTTTTTAATGTGGTTTTTTTTTTTTTTTTTTTTTTTGGTCTTTTTGAGGTAGGATTTCACTATACAGTTTAGGCTGGTCTTGAACTCACTTTGTAGCCCAGGCTGGCCTTGTACTCACAGTAATCCTCCTGCCTGTGCCTCTCAAGGGCTGGGATTACAGGTGTGCACTACCACACCTGGCCGCTTTTTTGTGTTTGAACATGAATTTGGAAAAAATTGAGCTCAACAACCGAGGTGTCACTGTACCTTGGGATTATGTAATATATTTTTTATTTTTACAAATGTTCACAGTTAGGAGTTTGCCTTGTATCTCACAAGATATTTAAATTTGGACTTCTGAAAAATGCTGGAATTTTTGAAACTTTGGGGAAGAGATTATTGCATTTCTGGTTGTATTCAGGATAGTTGTATTATGTTAGAATTATGAACTTGTTATTGTTTTGATATGGAGATTAAGTACAGTTTAAAGAGGTGTTTGGGTGTGAAGTTAGTAAGCGGTGGATTGTGATTGTTAATCTTGATATGTCAGCTTTATTGGATTAAGAAATGCCTAGCAGATGAATAGAGCACATGCCAGAGGGTGTCTTGCTGGGTCGTGGAGGTGTGGCTTTGGGTACTATATTTGCTCCCTCAGCCATTCCTCTTTGGTGCTGTTGCCCTGCTCTACTCCCTGGCTGCCGTAAACACCTTCACTCCATCATGCCTTTCCTGTATGAAGTTCTTGCCTTGTAGCCAGGTGATTATGCACTGAATCCCCGCAAACTGTGAACTAAATTAAACCTTTCCTCCTTTAAGTTGTGAATGTCAGGCATTGTGGTGAGCAATTGGAAAGCTGACTCATACAGGAACTTATTGTTACAGTAGAGGAGAACAAATAGAAATCAGGAATACCTTTTATACATTTAGGAATATTTTCATATCAGATTATGATGCAAAGAGACTTTCTTGAATTTCACCTTTTAGCACCACAGAATTTTGAAGTTGTGAAAGATTTTAAAGTGATTAGATGTAAGCAATTTCTAGTCAGGAATCCCGGACACATCTAATTAGGTATTTTCAATGGTGGATAGCTCTGTCTGCGTTTAAGCTACCCCCAGTTTTTCTTTGCAAAACTATTTGATAGTAATCTTTCTTGCTTTGACACACACTACATTCCCCTTTCACTTTTATGTATTCATCCTGGGACTACCATTTGAAGAAATACAGGTTATGATGACCTCTCTTCTTTTGGTTACTTGTAATTTGTGTGTGTCTACCATCCATTTTATCAAAAACCTGTTTTTATATAGCATAAACTTAGTTACTACCTTTCTTTGTCTGACTTTATTTTTACGTGTTTCAATTCTGAAAGTGTTTCCTTTTGCTAAAGGTCTCTTATAATGTTATACTAAAAAATGAATAGATTCCAGATGTAATCTAACAATTTCACAATAAAAGGTAATGCTTACTTTCTTTCTCTTGTATACTGTTAATGTTTTTAGCTATAATACTTTAAGATTTTATTGCTCTGTAATTCCCTTTTCTGTTCCCTCCTCCCTTTCTTCCTTTGTTTCTCTCTCTTCCTCTTCTTCCTTCTTCTTCTTCATTCAGTTTTTGGTCAGGGCAGGCAGGGAGTCCTGGGGACTGAATACAGGGCTTTTGCTTTGAGCTAAGTCCCTAGCCCTTTTTCTTTTCTTTTTTTTCTTTTTTTCTTTCCTTTTCTTTCCTTCTCTTCTCTTCTCTTCTCTTCTCTTCTCTTCTCTTCTCTTCTCTTCTCTTCTCTTCCCTTCCCTTTTCTTTTGAGACAGTCTTCCTAAATTGGCCAAACTGGGCTTGAATTTGTGCTCTTTCTGCCTAGCTTCCCAGAGTGCTGAGATTATAGGCATGTACCACCACACTCAGCTTTTGGGTGTATATTTTAAATTATATTACACAAGGTAATTTTAGGTATATGAAATATTAAAACTAAGACTTTTAGATTTTTCTATTTTAATTTCAGTAGAATTTTTAAAATATCAAATACTGTGAATGCATGCAGCACTATAAAGTTATTATGCTCTCAGCTTTTGAAATCAATAACAGTAGATGGGTAGATAGCATTATCATATAAGGAATTTGTAGATTTTTTTTTTTTTTTTTCTCTCAGAACTTTTATTAGGTGGAGTTTGGGCAAGAGAAAACCCCTGAACAGTTGCCCACCCAGTTCAAGACAACTGGAATAAAGGTCCCTTGGCTTGGAGATGGGCTTGTACTGAAATGGAGGCAGATCTTTGATTTTTATTTTTTTGCGGGTGACGGGGGGCAGTTTCTGGTACTGGAAACCAAACTCAAGATCTTGCGCTTGCCAGGCAAGTGCTGTGCCGCTGAGCTAAATCCCCAGCCCCAGATCTTTGATTTTTAAAGGGGAGCTAATTGGTTTATTTTTTCTGAGACCTAGATCAGATTGTTTTAAAAGGTTGGCTAAAGGACAGCAATCTCTAGGCACAGGACCAGATGCAAAATTGTGGATATTTTATGTTACTGAAATCTTTCCCCACGATACTTTTCCACAAGAATGTGGTAACCAAATATGAAATTCTGTCATAAGAAACCTAGGAAATATTATCTGGCCTTCAATCCCCAGCAGAGTGTTTTATAGAGTACCCATTGGAGTAGGTCAATTTCCTATGCCTGGTTTATCTCTTCTGGGAAATGGCAGCTAGCTGTCAAATTTCTCAAGATTTTCTATAAGGAAATCTCAGTATCAGGCTCCTTTGGAAAGAAGTGATAGTATTTATTTTAACCTTTTATTGGCCTATAGTCTATTCTGATCACAGCAACTAAGGTTATCCTGTCAAAACATAAGTCAAATCATATCATTTCTCTGTTTAAAAGTTTCTGGTTTCTGCCCATATCTTTAAGCAAACGTGAAGGTCACATCCATTTCCTGTCCTTTTCTCTCCCTTACCCACTTCCTTCTAATTACCTCGGAATCCTTGCTGGTCTTTGTACATGTCAAGTGCGCTCTGCTTAGGGATCTTTACATTTATTGTTCCTGCAGTATGAAGTATTCCTTTCATATGTATTGGCATGGCCTACTGTCTCTGCTCTTGACAATACTGATCTAACATCACTTTCTTCTTGAGATGTTCTAAGTTGCTAATGTTCCTTTCCACTATTACAGCCTAACTATTTTCCTTTGCTTGACCCTGTATATTTTATATAGTACTTATCATCTTCTACAATATTATATAATCTGATCCTCATGCTAGAATGCAAACTCCATGTAGGGGTATGAGTGCAGCAATATTTGTTCTGTTCCTTGGTGTGTATCCGGCCTCTAGAACAGTGGTTCACAAATAGTATTTCATAAATACTTGTTATTGAAACAAGATGCCTTGAGTATATTTTGAAAAAAGTATGTAGGATACATTTTCATATTTATCAACAGATTTACTGGATTCTTCCCTACATTGCTTTAATATTCCTTGGTATTGACATTCCTGTTATTTTATATTTTATAAAACTGAGTGTATATAACATTCCCTCCCTATATGCTAGTATCATTTTCAGGGAAGGCTGGAAATCGGATGCAATTGCAGTGTGCCTGGAATGACTACTGTCCTAACTTTACGTTGCTGATTTCTCTTCCCTTATTTGTTGAGGTGGTCATGAAAGTGGCAGGGAGAGGAAAGTCCAGTTAACTTAAACTATTCTTTATTCTCTTATTATAATGACTTCACACTGTTCATATTTAAATCAGGGCTTCCATTTTTATTTAATTCTGAGACATTTCTGATTTTGATCTCTTTGAGTCTCTTTGAGTTGTGATTTGAACCACAAATGTTTGAGTTTGCAACTCCTCATATTTTGTATTCCTTTGGGGAAAGCGATTTAGTTAAATTGATCCTGACCATAGTCTTCAGTTTTCCAGCTCACATCTGTGAGTCATCGACTTTCTTAACTTTTACCCACCCAAGTATCTTGAATCAACTATAATAATTGATAAATAATCATAGTAGACTGATTCTTATTAGTCTTTTATTTTACCCCTGCATAAAGAGCACCACCTGTATCATCTTTACTTTTGCTTTTAATGGGTGAGGTTTGGTAGTTAGTTGAAGTTTTTGAAAGGTTGACTCATGTAGTTTCTAAGGTATAATTTCAAAATTTTACATAGAAAAAATTCTGCTGACTGTGCTATGTTGACTTCCTGAAGTATTATAAATACAAATTTTCAGAAATAACATTAGAGGTAACTTTTGCTAGCTATTAGCTATATGCTGTAATTTAAAAATTAGAATTAGAATATATTTATATTTCTCAGTTAGTTTGTTAAAGTTTTACTTTCTTATTTTCTTTAGGATATTAGTTGCAATGAAATTCAGGTCCTTCCCCAACAAATGGGAAAATTACATTCACTCAGAGAACTTAACATAAGAAGAAATAATCTTCATGTTTTGCCAGATGGTAAGATGTTCACTGTTTCTACTCACATGAATAAAAAAGAAACTATGTATCCTTTAAATTAATTATTTTTCATTTCTGAACAGAGTTAGGAGATCTTCCCTTGGTCAAGCTGGATTTCTCTTGTAATAAAGTGACAGAAATTCCAGTTTGTTATAGGAAGCTGCATCTTTTACAAGTAATAATTTTGGATAACAATCCATTGCAAGTACCACCAGCACAGGTATGTAACCAAAAACACTTGTTTCTTCTCATTTTCATTCATAATTTTTTGTTTGTTATGTTTTACGTTTGTTAAATAAAAAAGCACCGAGATGAGTAAATTTGATTGTTTAGGTACTATCATCTAAAGGAGTTTTTCTAAACAGTGACTTTTTGATTTGGGTAAGAGTTTTAGTGTAGGTTGTAGAATAGTGTTTGAACAACCCAGATATTAACTTTCTGCTTGGAAACTGATGATTCTGATTACCAATGTTTTCTGAAAAAATAGACTCTGAAGTCTCTACTACTCAGATGTGAATCTACTTGGGATTTGTTGTGGGATTGATTGCAACACATTCTTGCCACTGAGAGATGGAATTACAACAAAAAGAAAATATACAAATGGAAAGTGTTAATTCTGACTTATAGTTTAATGCAATTAAATCCATGTGGGATCAACAAAAATGATAGTTAAGGAATAAATAGATATAAGCCCAGAATGACAAAGACTAGAAATAAGACAATGGGGAAGAGATGTCAACAGAATTTTAGAAAATGTAAAATAGATGGACTAGTGGTAAATGTTGCCTCTGTTTTCATGGCACAAGAGTATCTGACTGAGAAGCACCTGCCAGTGAAGCAGCAGCCCACACTACCTCAAAACTATGTGCCCTGGATCAGGGCTTGCATAGATCCAGAAGTTGCCTTTTACTGCCACCGAAGGTACATTCCACTCATTCCCAAGGGGTCACCTTTTCTGAGTCGGATAAAGGCTGGCTGAGGTCCTAGAAGTAGCTATTTTAGCACAATTGGGAAGGCTTCAACTTGGGTCTGCAGTGAGAGAAGGCAGTAAGAAGTGAGTTGATTTAGTGTGTCAAATGTAGAAATGGCTCAGGTATTAGAGGTAGCATACCTCTGAATGTAGGAATGAAGGACTGATTATGCAAGGCAGTGCTGTCCAGCAGAGCTTTCCGAATGGTGGAAATGTTCTCTAATTTGTGCTAGCTGAATGTAACCATTTGCCACATGTGGCATTGTTATGCTTTGTGTGTGGGTGTTCCCCCAAAGCCACATGCAGTTATGGGGTGGGCTTTTAGAGTTTATGATTCATGGTCCATTGTTAGAATGATGAATGTGAGTGCTACACCTGTCCTGGGGTAGGTAGTTTGCATACAGTGTAAGGGAGGGAAAGAGGCTGCTTGCCTCCACTGCTCCTCTCTTTGCTCGTGCTCATTTTGCTATCTGTCACCATCATGAACTATTGCCCTGTGCCATATCGCACTCTGCCTTGGAGCCAGCCAAGTATGGACTGAAACCTCCACAAACTGTAAGCTACATAAACGTTTCCTTCCTTAATTCTGGGCATCAGGTATTTTGTCTCAGCAATGAGAGAAAAGTAACCAACAGATTTTGGTACCATGAGTGGGGTCATTGCTGTGACTATACCTGACCATGTGGTTCAAGAGCTTTTGGAAATGGCTTGTGGGAAGTGTTTGAAAAGGTTCGGAGATGTAGCCTGAAAGAGTAGAGAGATAGCATCAGATCTTACAGGTTAAGGGCTCACTCCCACAAAAGTGCCTACCTATAATTCTGACCCACTGGCTACTTCCTTGGATTCAATTAATTTGCTAGAGTAGCTCACAGAATGCAAAGAAGCACTACATACTATTACTGGTTTATTACAGAGGGCATTTCAAGGGTACAAATGAATAGTATAAGAGATGCATAGGGAAAGGTATGTGAAGAAGGGGTGTGAAGCTTACATACCCTCTCTGAGTATGTGAGCTTCTACACAACTCAACATGTTCAGCAGTCTGGAGCCCTGTCTGAACTCTGTCTTTTTGGGTTGTTAGGGTAGGCTAATTGTGTAGCCAGGATTGGTTTCAGCACTGGCCATTGGTGCTAACTCCACCTTCAGTTTCTTCTCCTCTCCCCTCCCAGGTGGTAGGCATTGAGGGTGATGGGGTTGAAAGTTCCAGCTTTCTAATCTTTCGCTTACTTTTCCTGACTACCAGCCCCTCATCCTGAAGCTCTCCTGGTTTCTTTAGCCACCCATCTCATTACCATAGAAGAGGACACTGAATCACTTAAGAGACTCCGTAAGGGGTTTCAGAGCTGTGCCAGGAAATGAGGATACGATCAAATATTTCTTATAAATCCCAATATTGAAAGGAAGTAAAATCTCTATATTAAAGAGTTATCTGCGATTGCATTATTATTCACAGTAATTTGTCACGCAACATCTGCCAACAAATGAATGGATAAAACAGACATGACACTTGCATGCATGTGGAGTGTGTGTGTGTGTGTGTGTGTGTGTGTGTGTGTGTGTGTGTGTAATGGGATATTCTGACCTAAAGAAGAGGGAAATGCTGACATTTGCAACAATATGGATGTATCTTGAGGAAATTATGTTAAATGAAATAAGCCAGATACAGAAAAATATTGCATGATCTCACTTTGTGGAATCTATAAAAAAGGTTGAATTTACACTGACAGGGTAAAATGGTTATCAGAGGCTGGGTTGTAGGGGAAAAGGGGAGATAATGGTTAAACAGTGCTATTTCTTAGTATTTACAAGATATATATGTACTACAGGCCTAACGTACAGCATGGCAATTACAGTTAATAATTATTATATACTTGAAGTATGCTAAGAGAATAGCTCTTAAATGTTCTCACATCGCACAAAAAAAGATACGTATGTGAGGTGATGGAGATATTAATTAGCTTGGTTGTGGCAACCATTTCACAATGCTTACATATAGCAATACATTATATTGTACACTCTAGACTTATATAGTTTTTGGCATTCATGCTTCAGTAAAGCCAGGAGGAAAGAGTAAAGAGGAAAAAATTGAAGTACATTCATAGGAGTGGTTATTGGAATGACCTCTTAGTAGCAGCCCTGGAAACTAGCAGGTGCTAGAATGGTGCCATCACAGACTAAGGGCATAATTCCAACTTTCTACACTCAGGCATTAGTCAAATGTCAGATTAAAAAAAGGTTTCAAATATGCCAAGTCTAAGAAATTTTAACCCCATGTACCCTTTCTTAGAAAGTTAGAGTGTGTTATACCAAAATGGGTAACTAAACTAAAAGAGAGGAGTTTTTCACACCCAAGGTTGCCTGATATGCATAGGCTCAGAGAGCAGCCAGTCAGTTTGGAGTAGTAGAGTCACCCCCACTAGTAGGAATAGAGTTACAGGTGATTGACTGTGTGTTTGACCACATATTTTACGGCTCTGTCAGAGAGTCAAAAACAAGAATTAATGATAGGTACATAAAAATTGTGCAAAACAAAATTGGGGCCCTACGAGAAACAAAAATTAAGTTGAAAATAAATGTAATCCTATTACTCTACGGGGGTTCATGTGTGGTTATTTTCTTGATTATAATAATGTAAAAGTTGAATTTTGTTTTAATGATACCTTGTGCCATTATTATGATCATAGCAAAGACTTTTTGTTTTGATTTTTTTTTTTGCTTGCAGTGCTGGGAATGGAACTCAGGGCTTTCTGCATGTTAGGCAGGCACTATCCCACTGAACTGCATCACCAGGCCCAAGAGCAAAGATTTAAGTAGCACATACTATGGTCCAAACATTGATAAAAACCCATATACTAACTAATTTTTATATCAACTGTGTAAAAGAAATATTGTCATCATCTCTATTTTACATGCAAGAAAACAGAAGTATAGAAGTTACATGACATGTCCTAGGTCACATGGCTAGCATGCAGTAGTGCCAGAAGTCAAGCAAATGCTTTGTGACTCCAGAGATTATGCTTTTTGACTACTATGCTATGGAACAGAAGGGAGGCATGATTATGTGAGTCAATGGGAGTTGAAAAAGGAGTATGGTAGTGATGGTGCTGATGATAGAGGTGATAGTGGTAATGTAAACTATTCAGACCCCCATCTTCCTTAGTGAGACTTCAGTAATAAGATTTATATTTGAAAAGTTAAAAAAGCAATAGATTTTACACTAGTGAAACAATGTGCTTGCACATGCAGGTCTGATTTATTTCACTTATGAGTATGGTCTCTACTTGTGACCATTTACCCATAAAGGCCTTGAGTTTATCTTTCTTTATAACTGAGTAATATTCCATTATATAAAAGTACCACAATTTTCTTATCCAGTCCTCGGTGGATGGGCATTTGGGTTGCTCCCACAATTTAGCAATTACAAATA